ATCAGGTATTAAATTTCGAAGGTTTGTTAAATAGAATATAAGTGAATATAAGCGACCATGGATCTCTTCGACGTCCTTCTTTTTAATGTTAGTAAATTGCGAAAATTTCAATGCTAGTTAGTGTGAATTCTAATCTGTATCCTGATCAACGAAGCATTGACAAATCCTAAATCGATCCTTTATAAGTATCATGAATGTTTAATATTTTAATACATGTGTGTATGTTTAGATTATTTATAAAAAAATATACAAAACAAACAAATAAATATATGTTAGGCCTCCAGTCTAAGCTTGATATAACCTACAGTCGGAGTAGACGAGCTATACTTAACAGCTCTTGGGAACCTCATCCAACTCTGGACTCATCTTTGATATTCTTACAATCTTACGCGAAAGCAGAATGCAATTTGCGCGACACTGCTGGTAAGCAAAATGAGAACTCACGAGTGTTCTACTGTTATGGACACCTAACCAAAAAACAAGACGAGTTAGTCAGCGAACAACCACCTATGTTGACCAGCTCTGTTATGATTTAGAATGCCTCCCTATTGACCTTCTGTTCTTGATGCAGCACCGGGGGATGATTGGCCTGATAGACTAAAGAATGTCCGACCTAATCAACCGAACAAAAAAAGGGTAAGTCTATCAATGTTGCCAAGCAGATGAGGAAATTGATGAACCTGAATAGTACAGTCTTGTAGATTTGTTATTGGAGCAATGGAAACCAACCCTAAGAGTCCCAAAATGTCTAGAGGAACAAGAAACTAGGGAGATAGGGTTAGAAAGATCAAAATGACTGAGGAGAGTCTCGATGACTGAGAGGACTTGTCACTTAAATTCCGATGCAAACCATTGATTTCTTCTGCTGAATTCACACAATATATAATAATAATAATAATAATAATAATATTCAAATAATAATAATAATATTCAAATAATAATAATAATATTAATAATAATAATAATAATATTAATAATAATATTCAAATAATAATAATATTCAAATAATAATAATATTCAAATAATAATCAAATAATAATATTAATAATAATAAATAATTTACACACACACATTCAAAAGTATTAAAAATATTAAATCTTTATGATATTTATCTTAGATCGATTTAGAGTTTCGCAATGCTTCCTTCTTCAGGAGACATAAGAATTTCCATGAAAAAACATGGGTATAGTTATAATAATGAAACAATTTTGTCCATTCATGCTTTTTATGTAAGTTGTTGTTACTCGATTAGTCCAATTACAGGATTACGGGGTTGTTGCCCATTATTCCTGTGCCGGGTGATTGGGACAACTGCACATATCTCTTAGGCAGTACAGGTCTCCCTGATTTGTTATATTTATAATGTGTCTCTTCATAATGAGGGTAAGTTTATTGCTATTGTGCATCACCCTCACCGATCAAGGTTTATTGTGACTCCAACACTAAACCTTTTGCCATTCCAGGTTTCGAGAGGCCGTCTCCTTTTAGAGATATCTCACCGAACATTAAAGCTCTCTTATTTCTAGTGAGCTTCCAACGCGCAGGGATAATAACTCTGCTATTTCTACGTCCCTTGATTTTATTATCTTTTTTCTTTCCTTCTACCTCGTCAGGAATGCACAGGAGACGCCATTGTTTGGAACAGACCACCTGCAAAGGAAAGTGTTGTGTCTCGAAGAGGCAACTATGATCATCATAATCCGACCGAAATCTCTAAGAATAAAAGGATGTCTTAAATTAATAATAATAATAATGATATTACGGAGATAGGACCTGTTACAATTCTATGGGACTACACAATAAACACTGACAGAACAATCAAAGCCAACCGCCCAGACATTGTTATTAAACACCACAAACAAAAAAAGTGCCTCCTTATTGATATGGCAGTCCCTTCTGACTGCAATGTATCTTTGAAGATATTCAAAAAGCTGTCAAAATACAAGGACCTTGAAATAGAAATCTCGAAAATGTGGCACATGGGAACATCAACAATCCCTGTTGTAGTTGGAGCCCTAGGATTGGTTGGAAAAGATTCCAGTAGACTAATTGAAGGGATTCCTGGAAAAAGTACAGCCCACACTTTACGAAGGGCTTTATCTATGTAATGTTTTTTTGTCAGTGGTAAGTGTCATGATGCTATTTCTAACCTTAGATTTCTGGGCGGGACTCGGAAAGGAATGCGTAAACGCCAGAAATCAAAGAAAATAAAAATAATAAAATCGAACACGCTGAAAGATGATATGGGCACCAACCAGACACAGTTACCCAAATTAACAATGTAACTATCCTCTTGGATATGCCAATTCAAACTGACAGGGAAATAAAAGCCAACAGATGTGATATTATCATAAAAGACATGCAATTCAGGAAGTGGATGCGTATTGACATTGCAGTACCATCTGAGAGAATCATCTCCATGAAAATTATCGAGAAATTGTCCAAATACAAGGACGTGGAGATCATGATTAACAGGATGTGGGGAATGAAGACTGACACT